AATCAAAAATTAGCCGGGCGTGGTAGCGCACGCCTGTAGTTCCAGCTACTTGGAAGGCTGAGGCGGAAGGATCACCAGAGGTCAGCAGGTCGAGGCTGCGGTGGCCGGGAGTGGCCACTGCACTCCAGTCTGGGTGACAGAGTGAGACTCCAACTCAAAAAATAAAAATAAAAAAATAAGAGAATAAATCCTGTGGTCAATCTACTTAAATAAAAGTAAAAATAAACTATACTCTTAGAATAATATAATTATAAAGAGTACCATATAAACTAATGTTATATATTTAATTCAAAACATCTTTATAATAAAAATATAAAATATATATACCTCTTACTTGGAGGGGGTCTTGCTTAAGTGGAGCTTTGAGTTCGGCACCTATATTCTCTGCTGTAAAGTTTATTAAAACAAATTTACATTAAATAGCTGCTTTCATACAAACCTATAAACTTAATTAATTTCAGAACCTAATCTAGCAATGTATAAAAAAGATGATATATCATAGACCATGTTAGATTTATCTTAAGAAGGCAAAACTAGCTAAACATTACAAAAGCTATTATTCCCCTCACTAACAGATGAAGGAAGAAAAACTATAGAATAATTTCAGAAGCTAAGGAAACAGCATTTAATACAATTCAACATTCATGCAAATCACAAACCCTTTTTAGAAAATTAGGACAAAACATAATTTCTTTAAAGGGTAAAACAAACTTATAACAAACATTATATTCTATGGTGAATGTTTTGATTCACTCCTTTAAAGTAGAGAACAATAAAAGGATGCACCGTTCTTCCACTTAAAACTGTTCTAGAGACACTATACAATGAAAAAAGAATGATTATTAAGTGCTCCTAGGACAACTGTACAACCCTACATCCATCAATAAAATAAGATAAAATAAAAGGAAATTGGGCCAGGCATGGAGGCTCACTCCTGTAATCCCAGCATTTTGGGAGCTCACAGCAGGAGGACTGCTTTAGCCCAGGAGCGCAAGACCAGCCTGGGCAATATAGCGAGATACAGTCTCTACAAAAATAAAAAACTTAGCTGAACCTGGTGGCATATGCAGGAGGATCACTTCCCAGGAGGTCAAGACTGTAGTGAGCTGTGATTGTGCCACTAAGGGACAAAGTGAAACTTTGCCTCAAAAAAATAAAAAGGAAATTGGAATATACCACTCATCATAAACAAAAGCAATTCTAGATTAAATACTTAAATATTAAATTATTTACATGTTGCATAGTAGACAATACAGAATATTTTCATGGTATAGAAAGATTTCTTAAACAAGATACAAACAACACAAGGAAAACTGATAAATTCTGTAAATTTTCCTTCTGTAAAATTTAGAACATCTGTTCATCAAAGAATCCCATTTTAAAAAAAGAGAAAAATAAAAGAAAAGCCTCAAACTAAGAGAAGATATTTCCAACAGATAGAATCAATAAGGCACTAGGATCAGGAATATTTAAAGAATTCCCCCAGATCAAGAAAAAGACAACCCATTAGAAAAATACAGGCAGATGAACAAACGCGCACAGAAAAGGAAATACAAACAGCCAATAAGCACTGAGAAGATGACTGCCTCATCACTAACAAAGTCCAAGTGAAATAACAAGATGCCACTTTACAACCATCAGATTAGGAGTAATGGAAATATGGCAACATCTAATGTTGGCAAGGGTACACAGCAAAGGACATGCTTACGCTGATGGTAGAAATATAAACAGGCACAGTGAGCATGGTGATCAAGCTGGCATTGTCTACAACAGTTGCACATCAGCACAACTCATAACCCAGTAATTCTTCTAGGTCAGTATCTTTAACGTCAAGAAGTCCTTGCACAAGGGCACAAGGAGAGGGACACGAGACTTACCGAGGCGGGCACTCTGCTCTATTGTTAAAACTGGAGACCCAGATAGCCCATCAGCAAGAGAACAGACAGATGAACCATGTAAGTTCATGGAAGCTTCATATAGCAGTGAACACTGATAAATGTAATAATGGCCATCTATCTTTGAGCCCTGATGGTGGGCAAGTCCTACTCTAACCACTTTACATGTATCAACTCGTTTAATTCACACAACAGCCCCAAAAGTATGTGCCAGTTACCTCCAAGAACATTAATGAACCAGACATACCCACTAATAGTCCGGATAAATTTTAGGAGAAAAACTTAATGAAAAAGTAAATCACAAGAGAACACACACAATATGTTATCACAGCAAAGTTCAAAAACAAGCTAAACTAAACAAATATACAACTGTATCAAGCTATTTCTTTTTTATTCCACATGGATTCACTGGGCAAATGGAGATGTGACCACGAAGGTAAAGTTCTTAGGCTGAGTGGTACACTGCAAGGTTCTGATTTTATTGTTTTCTAACTTACATATATTCTGTAATACTCTCTTGTATGTATCAAATATTCTGTAATAAAAATCTTAAAACATTTTCTTTTACTATATTTATATAATCAATCAATAATAAAGTCGTGTTTCAGAGTTAATAATAATAGTTGACATTTACTAAGGATTTAACATGTGCCATGTATTTGTCCTATGTGCTTTACATATATGAGGGGGACCCCAAAAAACCAAAATTTAGTTATAAAGAATTATGCATTAATTCTTAACATGTTCAAACTTCAGTCACCTTCAAAGTACTCTGTTTAACTCAATAGACTTACTGAGATGCTTTTTCCACTGCTCAAAACAGTTTTTGAACTTGTCAATGTTGATGCCTTTTAGACCTTCTGCCATTTTTTGTTTCTGCTGTTCCACATCAGCAAAACGTTTCCCTCTGAGGACTTTGTTTGACCAGAGAAGCAAAAATTCATTTGGGGCCAGACTAGTTGAATAGGGAGGGTGGGGCACGTGGGAAAACTGTTGAACACTCAGCATGGTGTGGGCAGGTATACTTGTAAATCACCCATCATGAAATGGGCAAATGCTTTTAAAAAATCTCTAAACAAAAATATTCACTGAAGCTGAACACAGCCCCTTCACAACCACACTAGCTGGTACACAGATGCCAATGAGTTCCTAGAACACTTACCTAGTGGGGGAAGCCTGGACTTCAAGGGGCCCACTCTCCAAAAAATAGTTTCATTTTGGGGGGTTACTCCTCCTATAATTTCAATTAATCCTCACAAAATTGCTCTGAGGTAAATACTATTATCTTCATCTTATTAGGAAACTGAGGCACAGAGAGATGATAACTTCCCCCCAAGTCACATAGTCACTTTTTCCTTAGTATGAAGAAACTAAGGCATACAGAGGCTTTCTAATTTCCCCCAAAGTCACAGAGCAAGTATTTTAAACATGGAGGCACAGTCAGGGCTAAAACCCAAGTCATTTTCATTAGTCTGTGCTCTTAACCATTTTCCTACATTGTGTCTGTGTTCAAAATAATGTGTGACAAGTCTGTAGATCCAGCTACTTAGAAACCTACGGTGGAAAGATGGCCTGAGCCCAGCAGGACGAGGTTGTGGTGGCTGTGAGCATGCCACTGCACTTCAGCCTGCGCAACAGAATGAGACTCTGTCTCAAAGATAAATAAATAAATAGATTTGACTTATGCGTAGGCATTGGCATATTTTTGCTAAGGGGAAAGAAGAGGATAGAAATAAATACTGAATTAGCAACACGGAGATCACTGGAACCTCCTGACAAGAGCAGTTTTGGCAGAAGAGTGGGGTGGAGGCAGTGGGTTGGGGAGAAAGTGGGAGATCAAATGGAAGCAGTAATTGGACTCAGCAGGTGCTGAAGAGGAGAATGAAATCAAGCAAAGGTTGACTTTATCTTACACAGATGGGAGGGAGGCAGTAAGAGGGAGAAAAGGTTGGTGCAGTAGATTACAAGAATAATCATAAGAGCAAAGTCCTGAGAAGCTACAATAGCAGAATAGAAAGTCTCTGAAAACATATGTTGAAATAGCAATGCAACTGTATCTCCGCATGTTTAGAATATGAGTCCATTTAAATGACATGAACACATTAAGTCTGACCACTTGCCTGGTACATATGGATTCTGCCACCTTCTGTATGTTTCCAGTTTACCATCTTTTTCTTTGCTTAATTTTTATTTCACCTTCCCTCTCACCTGTTAGATTCATCAAGTTTTCTGTATCCTCCTCCCATCTCATCCCCCAGTGTTAGTCTGGAACTTATAAAATCATGTTTCCATGTTCTAACTTAACATACAGGCTTTCCTTAAACCTTTCTAACCACCTGTAAAGTTATTCAATCTCTATCATCCACTGGAACAAGAAAAATAACTTTTTTTTTTTTTTTTGAGTTGGAGTCTCACTCCACTGCCCAGGCTGGAGTGCCGTAACACGCTCACGGCCACCCCACAGTCAACACGATGGATTCCGGTGATCCTTCTGCCTCAGCCTTCCAAGTAGCTGGAACTACAGGCATGTGCTACCATGCACGGCTAATTTTTAAAATTTATTTATTGTAGAGACGAGGTCCCGCCAAGTTGCCCGGGTTGATCTCGAACCCGCGGGCTCAGGCAATCCACTTGACTCAGCCGCCCAAAGTGCTGGGATTACAGGTTGTGCCACCAAGCCCGACCAGAAAAAAAACTTTTAAACACTGAAAACTTCTTCCATCTTACTAGTACTCTTAATCTAAGTTTTATTATTTAATGTTAAAAGAAAGTTTATTATTTTATTATCAAAAGTTATTTTACCAACACATTTTACCCATTTTTTATTCTTTACTATCTCTTTGATACCTAATCCCTTCTCTCCTTCTGGCTATCTTCTAGAAATCTGTTCTTTAATAATTTTTTTAATGTTGGGGGGTTGGTTAGTAAATGACACTCATATTTATATGTCTGATAGTGTTCATATTTCTGCCTTCACTCCACAATGATTATTTAGAACAAGTAAAATTCTGGGGCAGCATTTTTTCCTCTTACTTTCTCAACCATTCCCTTCTCTGTTTCCTGCATATAGCTGCAGATAAAAAGTCTGCTTCAAAAGAGCCACTAGACTGACAGCAGTGACTTTCCTCTTGTCAGCTTTTAAGCTGGGTTGTTTCTTGTTTTGCTTTTTAAATTTGTGATTTCTCTGCAAAGTGTCTAGAGTGGATGTATTATTACTTATCCTACTTGGTACTCAAAGTGTCCTTCTGATCTGGGGAGTTGTCTTTCTCAAATTCTGAAAAATTCTCATCCATTATCTCTTTGTATATTGCTTCCTCACCATTTCTCTATTCTCTCTTTCTCTCTCTCTGAATACCTATTAAATGTAGGGCTTCATGTCTCTTAAGTGCTCTCATTTTTCTGAAAATCTTTTGCCTTTCTACATCCCTTCAGAGTGAATTTCAATGTATGAATTCTCTAATTGATTGGTTAATAACTACATTTTTATTTTAG